TTACAGGTGTCTCCGAAAGTGTCTGTTGGGTTGGCACGAATCGAGACTGGGATTTGTCACTCCGTATGACGAAGAGGTATCTCTGGGCCCACTCGGTAATGCATCATCATAATGAGCTCAATGTGATCAAGTGGTTGATCACGGGATCATGCATTACGGTACGAGTAAAGTGACTTGCCGGTAACGAGACTGAACAAGGTATTGGGATACCGACGATTGAGTCTCGGGCAAGTAACGTACCGATTGACAAAGGGAATTGAATACGGGATTGATTAAGTCCTCGACATCGTGGTTCATCCGATGAGATCATCGAGGAGCATGTGGGAGCCAACATGGGTATCCATATCCCGCTGTTGGTTATTGGCCGGAGAGCCGTCTCGGTCATGTCTACGTGTCTCCCGAACCCGTAGGGTCTACACACTTAAGGTTCGGTGACGCTAGGGTTGTAGAGATATGAGTATGCAGTAATCCGAAAGTTGTTCGGAGTCCCGGATGAGATCATGGACGTCACGAGGAGTTCCAGAATGGTACGGAGGGAAGAATTATATAGTGTAGTTTCGGCCATCGGGAAAGATTCGGGGTCACCGATATTGTACCGGGACCACCGGATGGGTCCCGGGGTCCATCGGGTGGGGCCACCCATCCCGGAGGGCCCCATGGGCTGAAGTGGGGAGGGGAACCAGCCCATAGTGGGCTGGTGCGCCCCCCTTTGGGCCCCCTGCGCCTAGGGTTGGAAACCCTAGGGTGGGGGGGGGCGCCTCCACTTGCCTTGGGGGCACTCCACCCCCCTTGGCCGCCGCCCCCTTGGGAGATCCAATCTCCAGGGCCGGTGCCCCCCAGGGGGCCTATATAAAGGGGGGAGGGAGGGCAGCCGCACCTCAAGTCTTGGCGCCTCCCTCTCCCCTGCTACACCTCTCCCTCTCGCAGAAGCTCGGCGAAGCCCTGCTGCGATCACTGCTGCATCCACCACCATGCCGTCGTGCTGCTGGATCTTCATCAACCTCTCCTTCCCCCTTGCTGGATCAAGAAGGAGGAGACGTCATCCGCTCCATACATGTGTTGAACGCGGAGGTGCCGTCCGTTCGGCACTTGGTCATCAGTGATTTGGATCACGGCGAGTACGACTCCATCATCCCCGTTCTCTTGAACGCTTCCGCTCGCGATCTACAAGGGTATGTAGATGCACTCTCCTCTCGTTGCTAGTTGACTCCATAGATTGATCTTGGTGAAACGTAGGAATTTTTTTTTCCGCAACGTTCCCCAACATATACGACGCAGAACGCCCATACTATGCCCACGTGATGGTTAGTGCTATCAGGCCAGAGGCCCCTCGGATCAAATATCCAAATTGTAGTGGATTAGGAATGCGCGGTAACGAGCAGAGACTCACGATCGATGTGACCCCGTCGCCCCGTCTCGAGTACTTGCGGCAAGGGCTAAGAATGCCCGGCCACGCCTCGTAAGTATCTCGCGGGCACCTTCCAGGTCAACCCGACTCCACACCATTCGCTATTAAGCTCGCGCGGGTACCCCTCATGGTCGACCCGTCTTTAGTAACATGGTTCAGTGTAAAGCTCTAGTAACCATAGTAACTGTGTGTCTAACACCAAAGGGAAAACCCGAGGAATCACCCCCGGTGAATTCCACTCGATGTAATCATCAAGGTGAATGTAAGAGGATCCACCCTCGAGGTTCACACTTGAGGGGTTGCACGACAGAGCCGTATCAGAAGTGGTTAAGGAGGAAATCACCCTCGATGACCACGACCGAATAGCTACACTACAGGTTAACAACAGAAGTGCTGAAGAGGTCTCACCCTCGGCACTCGATAGTAACCCAGTAGTGTCGAGCAACTAAGGGGAAAGTGATGTGCGGTGTCGGGGCCTGGTCTTCAATCCCGTTGATCGGGTCTTCGATGATGAAGCAGGGGCAACAGGGACAAGGTGGGGGTCACAGTGGATCACTACCCAACCTATACTAAGCAGTTTAGGATAAGCAGGTAAGGTACAACGGCAGATACAAAAGCAGGCTATGCATCAGAATAGAAGCAAACAATAACAATAGCAAAATCTAATGCAAGCATGAGAGAATGGAATGGGCGATATCGGGATGATCAAAGGGGGGGCTTGCCTGGTTGCTCTGGCAAGGAGGGTCATCGTCGACGTAGTCGATTACAGAGGCATCAGCAGCGGTCTCGAGGTCTACCGGAGAAGAAGAAGGGGAAGAAACAGTAAATGCACGCAAACATAAGCATAACAAGACAATAAGCGGTGCTAGAGGTGTTCTAACGCAGCGCTAGGCGACACTGGCGAAGGAGGATAACATCCGGGAAAGTTTTCCCGGTTCCGGACGTCTGTCAGACAAATGAACCGGAGGGGGAAAAGTTCAACGTTTTCTATGCTAGGGATGCGTGGCGGACGAACGGGCTGCGTATCCGGATTCGTCTCGTCGTTCTAAGTAACGTTCATGTACAAAGTTTTTCCATCCGAGTTACGGTTTATTTTATATTAATTTTAAAAGATTTAAAACATTTTTAGGATTTATTTAATTATTTTAAACCAACATTATCCAGAATAGTGCTTGCTGACGTCAGCATGACGTCAGCAGTCAACGTTGACCGTTGACCTGGTCAACCTGACGTGTGGGCCCCGTGGGACCCACCTGTCATTCTCTGTTTAGGTTAGTTAGGGTTAGGTTAATTAATTATTGTTTAATTAAACTAACATGTTAATTAGATTAATTAATTAGGATTAATTAATTAATTAATCAACTAATTAATCAACTAATTAATTATTTTATTTATTATTTATTCATTTATTTATTTACTCTTTTTTTAAGAAAAAAACGTTCCAGGGGCTGGGCCCCACATGTCATAGGGCCTAGGGGCCAAACGGGCAACGGGCGAAACAGGTGAGGGCGCCCGCCCGCATGGCCACGGGCGTGCGGGCGCTGGAGCGCACCGATGGCCAGGGCAGGGCTCGCCGGCCTGCCGTTTCCGGCGACGAAAACTGGTGCGGCGGGGCGCGTTGGGTAGCAGGCGGTTGCGGTGCGGTCGAAAACGGCGTGAGGGAAAGCAGCGGGCGGCGCAACCATCGGTGGGCTCGGGCGGGAGCATACAGAGGCGCGGGTGGCGGCGGGCGCGCACCTGGGCACGTCCAGGGAGCGGTGTGCGCGGCCGGGGTGTGTCCGGGGCGCGAGTATGGCCACCGGGCGCGTGCGGGGCGGTGACCGCAAGAGGTGGCCGGAGCGGGGGAGAGGGTGCGGGAGGCGACCTACGGCGACCGGATCACAGGGGTACGGAGCGAAGACGGACGAGGCCTCACCGGGGCCTGTAGTTATGCAAAAGTCGGCTCGGGGAGGGGCCGGGGATGCGTTTCCGGCGACGACGATGTTGGTCGGTGACGGCAAGGCAGAGGTCTCAGGCGGGCATCGCGCAACGAAG